GTTCACAGCGCTGTAGAAAATGAAGTTACTGTTCACTTCAACATTCACACCAAGTCAGTGTGAACCAACCAATCAGAGCAGCGAGGGCTACATGTTAGCTAATACGCTAGCTTAGCCCTGGACCGCAGCAAATGTTAATGATATGAGATGAAGACGACGCTGCGATTTACTTCAACCTCAGTGACGCTAACGTGTAAAAATCTTACATTACAAATATATAACAGTTATCAAGAATATCAGTAAGACGAGCTAACGCATCCAAGATAGCCGCGGCGGCTAAAGGTTGGCTGTGAAATATCTCCAGGTTCTCCACAGTCCAAAAACATGATGATTGGAGATGAGGCTAATGTTCACGCTGAACGGACCGCAGGTGTGAATGTCAGTGTGAATGGTTGAACGTGTCCCTGTGATAGACTCCCCCACAAACCACTAGAGGGAGCCAAGGCTCCAGCAGTATTACGTGAGCTAAAATCACTGATTTTCTCTATGAGGTTTGGTGTGAGCGCCCCCTTCAGTGTTCATGGAGCTCTGCTCAGCGTCAGAGAACTGGAGGAAGTTGACGGACTTCCTGTCCAGAAGGAGATCCTGGTGTGAAACTCTGACCAATCACTGACGACGACTGGACATTTGACAAAAGATCCTATTATTATGAGCACAGTCAGACAGAGGAGGTGCTGATGAGGAGGTGCTGATGAGGAGGTGCTGATGAGGAGGTGCTGATGAGGAGGTGCTTGAGGAGGTGCTGATGCTGATGAGGAGGTGCTGATGAGGAGGTGCTGATGAGGAGGTGCTGAGGTCACAGTAGTTAATCCAGTCTGAGGTCAGCGTTGACTCTCTGCACTATTAATATCATGTGATCGTGGAGAACAGCTCTATACATAGGTCTCTGTGTGTGTGTGTGTGTGTGTGTGGTGTTTGGTAAAGTTATGGTGGAGGTGTGTGTTTTTTTCCTCTTTTAGCCCCGCCCCTTCATTTATGAGGCCGACTTCCCTTTGATCCTACACTGATTTTCATCTTCTTTTTTTCTTATTTATTTTGATTTCTTCACTGATATTTTTATATTTATTTTTATATTTATTTTTATTTATATATATATATTTTATATTTATGGCTTTTTTCTTTATATATTACACTGTCTGCTCTGTTGGTTCTGCCTGTTGTTATAGCTCTCTCGTTCTCTCCCTCTCCCTCTACCTCTCTCTCTCCCTCTCTCTCCCTCTCTCTCTCTCCCTCTCTCTCTCGTTGCATCATCATCGCATTAACCGCCTTTTATAAATAGGATGACGTCAGCGCCGTGCTCTCCCTCTACTCTCTTCTTCGCCCCTCCTTAACAGCATTCCATGCCGCGTCATCCTGAGGCCCCGCCCCCTCACCGTGCTCATATATTCGGGTGACGCAACTGCGTGGAGTCACTCGACAGAAAAGAGGCGAAGAAGAAGAGGAGGAAGAGGAGGAGGAAGAGGAGTTCACACACGTTGTTTTTTCGTCTTTCCCGAACTTTCCAGCTCCGACCACAGTCACAGGTGAGTCCGTGGTTCAGTGTCTGTAGTTTCAGGGGGAAGTGGCGGGAGCGCTGGCCCGTGTGTGCCCGGGCGGTGACTCTCCTGTGACGGGGAAGAAGCGGAGAGAAGCCGGTGTTTCCTCCGGAGAAAAACTTTTTGAAGTGGATTTTTCTTTTTCTGAGTTTTCATTTATAACGAAGTCACAGTTGAATAATAATTAATAATAACATTTGGACCGACTGTGAGTCCGTCGTCGAACGGTTTGATTCTTTTTAAACTTTATGTTTTAACACGTCACTGCTCCGGTTCTTCTTCTTCTTCTTTTTCTTCTTCCCTCCGGTTCTTCTTCTTCTTCTTCTTCTTCTTCTTCTTCTTCTTTTATTCAGTCATCGTTTATTCATCATTTAAATGGAAACTTCTAGACACAGACTGTTTCAGTTCATTTGACTTGTTTTCATGTCTGTGTCCATGGGAATGTGACGTCATCAGCGTCATGTTATTCATGGTTATTGTTGTTGTCAGCGTCAAGTCCAATCATAACAGGGTTGAAACTAACATTGAAGAAGGTTTGATGTCTTTGATCATGTTGATGCCACTGTGCTTTGAAGTCAGTCAACTGATGGCTTTGTTTAATGAGCACTTGGTTTTAGCCGACGTCAACCTGTAGGTGAGACCGCAGCTGTTCTAGGTTCTGACCCGGACTCTGTCTAAACTCTGGTTCCAGAATGATGCTGCAGCACCCGGGTCCCTCCCTGGCCGACATCAGCTGCTCCGCCCTGGTTCCGTGCCTGTCCCCCCCCGGGACCCTCACCCTGGACGACTTCACCGACTTCACGCCCATCGTCAAAGAGGAGCTGCGTCTCGCCATCCAGACCAAACGTCTGTCCAGCGGGCTGAGCGCCGACGTCAGCTCCGACGGAGGCAGCTCCTGCTCCGACCGGGCCTCGGAGCAGCACCCGGGCGGCTCAGGGGCGAGGAGAGAGGTGAGGAAGAGGGGTGGTGCTGTTGCTGCTACTGTTGCTGCTACTGTTGCTGGTACTGTTGCTGGTACTGTTGCTGCTAC